AACCCCAACCCCACCTCGTCCAGGACCGAAACATCGTACTCCAGGCTGCCTGCGCCAAAGTCCATTATCGAGGCCCGCACCCCCGTCAGGAAATCGCTGTCATGCGTCCGCATGCGCACGGCGCGGACCCCGGGCCCGCTCGGCGCGTGGTGCGGGCAGTACACCCGTATGCCGGCGGCGCCGGGCCCCACCGCGCACTGCGGGGGCACGACGCACAGCAGGTTTCTCAAAAAGGACGACTTAGCAGGGCTCGCGGGACGGCTTTGGGCCCGCCCGCTGCATGCGCTCATTGCAGACAGGCCAGTGTCAGCCTGGGGCGCCTGTGGGCGTGCGCCCCGCTGCCACCCTGCAGGGGCGGCGTGCGTGTGCGTGTTTTTCACCCCCAATGCACGCCGTGTCAGAGGCCGCATGCTGCACGCCGCGACGGCCGCAGCAAAACATTACGTAACTCGCCGCTCACCACGAACGCCTCGCCCCCCACGACGCACGAGCACGCCTCGCACCGCTTGCCGCATGCTGCGCTGCAGGCCTGGCGCATGACGGCGCAGCGCCGCAGGCCGTCCATGTAATCGCAGGCCTGGGCCTTGCTGAGCGCGGCGCCGGGGGCGCCGCAGACGATTTGGAACGCGTGCGCGTGGTCCTGCAGGCAGGCCGCCAGCTGGGCCGCGGGCATCTCAGAGTAGTTCGCGGGCCCGACGCCGCAGTCGCGGCCGGCCACCCGCACAGGCTGGTACGGTCCCTGCACGCGTGCAAGGGGCGTCGTGCTTTTGTTGTGGGGGCGCGCCCGCTGGTGGCGCGGCAGGCAGGTGTATCCGCAGAGGCCCCTCTCCTGCCATCATGCAGCGGCGGGCAAGGGCGCTGGGGCGATACTGAACAATACATGCCAGCATGTTGGCTTCACGAGGATGCACACTCAGTGTGTGAAGGACGATGCGCACCCCAGGGTCACGAGGCGCAGACACTGGCTCCGGGGGCTGCTCCGCCGCAAGACGCGCCCTTGCACGCGTGGCCATGACGCACGCGGCGAACCCGAACCCATCCCAACCTGCCTTGCAGAGGCCTACCTGATCCGAGCTCGCGGCCCCCGGCGCCGGCGGAACGCCTGTCTTGAAGACCGCCGTGCCGCCTGGCGCGCTGTCGAGCTGCTGCTGCGCCATCCCTGCGGCGCCGCCACCAGACGCGCCCCCTGCCGCCGCGTCCTTGCCAGGGCAGCGACCTGTCAAGCCGTCAATATCGCCGCCAACCTCCCTGCCCGGGAAGGGCTGCGCATCATGGCCGTCCCACCCCAGTCCCAGCTGCACCAAGGCCTCCGCTGCCGCCTTTTCGCCGGTGCGGGGCGGCTGCTGCCGCTGCGCCTGCCCGCTGGCTGGCGGCGCGAGCGCCTGCGCGCGCCGTTGCCAGCGGGCGACGCCTCCTGTTCCCCGGCCCTCCTAGAGTTTGTGCCCCCCGCAAGTGGCGTGCTGCGTGCCCCGACGCCCGCCTCTCTCTGCAATCTAAACACGGCGTCGGCCTCGCTGGGCGGTGCGCGGGAGCTGGTTCCGTCATCACCGCCCCCGCTGCCCACCGATGCGGTCGGTTGCTGCGAGCAAGGTGCACCACCGTCCCAGGCAGGCGCGCTCCGCATGGCTGGTGGGCTGCCTGGCGGCCGCGGCCGCAATCCCCTGTGACGGTGCCAGCCAAGCCGCGCCCAGGTGCCATGCGGGAGGCGGCGCCGTGCCACGCCATTGTAGCAAAGGCACGCCCGGCGCTCCTGCAGGCGCATGCGCCAGCCCAATACTGCTGCCCGTGCCCGGCAACGTGCTCAGAAGGTGCTGAGGTGGCGCCAGTTGTTGCTGCACGCGCTGCTGCTGCTGCTGCTGCTGCTGCTGCTGCTGCTGCTGCTGCTGCTGCTGCTGCTGCTGCTGCTGCTGCTGCTGCTGCTGCTGCTGCTGCTGCTGCTGCTGCTGCAGCAGCTGCTGCAGCAGCTGCTGCAGCAGCTGCTGCAGGTGCTGCTGCACCTGCTGCTGCTGCTGCACCTGCAGCGGCTGCTGCAACACCTGCAGCGGCTGCTGCGACACCTGCAGCGGCTGCTGCGACACCGGCAGCGGCTGCTGCGACACCTGCAGCGGCTGCTGCGACACCTGCAGCGGCTGCCGCGACACCTGCAGCGGCTGCTGCAACTGCAGCGGTTGCTGCAACACCTGCTGCGCCCGCTGCGATTTCAGCTGCTGCAGGTGAGCGCTCAAACACTGGCCAGTGTACTCGTGCAGCTTCATTCTGCGCCTGCACACGGCGCGCGTGGTTATTAGAGTGTCGTGCATGTTTTGTGTTTTTTTGCGCAGACCTGTCGCTCCTGGAGCGCACCGCTGGCGAGCGCCGGAGCAACCTGCTGTCATCCCCGCGCCAGCTCGACATTCGGGCGTCACTGAGTCACCCCAAGACCACTGCCCACGCTGACGTCCGACATAGCTGGCCGCTCCCCCGCTTGGCACCTGCGCTGACAGCCACCGCGGCGACTCGCAACACACGTGCGCAAACTCACGTCAGACCGGCCTCGAAAACCAGCACCGTAGCACTGCCCGACATGGCGCCGTTCGCGCCAACTCCAAGGGCCTTTCCGGCCTTGGTGAGGCTTCCATACGTTCCAAAGAAGTTTGATATCCGAGTGAGCTCACTCAGCTGGGGCCCGCACCCGTCGGGCCCGAAGCTGACGGTGGGCTGGCCGCCTTTGAAAAGGACATGTCTGCCTCTCGCGGGCCATGACACTCGCAGCCAAATCACAGAGTTGACGAAAGTACCATCTGCTTGCCGAAGTCTGGCATGCACTCGAGCCCACACGGGGGTTGTCGAGATCACGTATACCGCGTCAGCTGGCTGCCACGCCTTGTCCAGGGATTCGACGTGCGTCATTGCTCATAACTTATGCACTAGGACCGCTGGCGGTGCTTCGTCGTTGTGAGTTGCTTCTGCACTCTCTTCCGGGGCAGCTTCCGTTGCAACCGGTTGCCATCGATAGCAATCGATGGCTATCGGTCACCTCCCCCCAGCGATGATGCACCATACTTGTGCGTGATCATCACTAAATATCAGGGAGATCAAAACACGGCCGTCCTGCGGTTTCAGCTGCCTCATACTGGCTGCTGTCAACCTGGCTTGGCTGTGCTGCGGTGGGGCAGCCAGGCTGCGTGCGATGTCGCCAGCCATGTTACAGTGGCGGGGGTGCCCCTCCCTTGTGCACAGTAAATGACCCAGGGGGCCAGTTACGTGCGCGCGGTCTATCGCCCGCCTACATGCCCAACTCTAGTCGGCCTGTCCAGCCGCCGCCGCCGCCGCCCCCGTCGCCGCCGCGCCCTTCCCGCGCCCGCCCACCGCCGCGCGCAGCGCCGCGAGCGGCCCCGCCTCCGCGCGGGCGATGACGTCATGCTGCCACGGCTGCAGCCCCTGGTAGCCCCAGTTGTGGACGTCGCCGGCCAGGGGGTCGGGCGTCTGGGAGTCCAGGCCGGCCAGGGCCTCGATGAAGTATAGGCCGCAGAAAGGCACTGCAGCATCGAGTTGTTTGGGGGGTGCGGAGGGCGGCTGGTGCGTGGTTGGCCGGGGGTTGGGTGCATGTCACTGTAGGTGTGAGGGGCCCTTGTAGGGCAGCGTGTGAGGCTGGCCGCATGCTCTCGCAGCGGATGAGAGGGGGCAGGGGGGGGGGGCAGTGCAGAAGGACTTGGGGTAAAGGCATGAGGCTGGCAAGGGCCTCGATAAAATAGAGGCCGCAGAAAGGCACTGCATTGGGACGGGTTGAGGCGCGGCAGGGGGAGGCGGTACTTTCGCTCGGCGGGTTGGTGCATGCGGCTCGAGGCGTGAGGGGGTTCAAGTACATAGGGCAGCGCGTGGGGCTGCAGCAGGAATGACCGCGTGCACGTGAGTGTGGGTGGTCCGCTTCGGGGGTTGGAGGCTGCGGGCCTGTCTGGCCCCAACAAACCCGCCGCCTGGCGTGGGCCCGCGTCAAACCAAGAAAGAGACAGCCGCGCACCGTACATCTCGCTGTAGCCGCCCTCGTGCACCGCCACCAGCCGGCCGCCGCAGTGGCGCGCCGCGGCGGCCCTCAGGCGCTCTCCAAAGTATCGGTAGTCGCGGGCCGCCAGCTGCATGGTGGCCAGAGGGTCCATGGCCGAGGCGTCGTACCTGGGTAGTTTTTTTTGTGGCGGGGGGCATGGGCATGAATTGCGAGGAGTTTGGGGTTCAGGGGTCGGGGCCGCGCTGAGCGGAGACGTAGGGGCAGAGAAAACGGCCTGAGGGGGCCCAGAACGCGCGGCTGCATGGTAGCAGGGATGCCCAAAACGTGCCTATGCTGCCGACGCGGGCACGAGCCACTTGATACACAGACACACACGCCCCCCTAAACACACGCACACATATATACACATGTCAGGACCGATAAAAACCCCAGGCCCACACCCACCCCGCGCTGACGAGGATCAGCTGCGGCCGGAAGGCGTCCAGCGCCGGCTCCACCACGCGGTCAAAGGCGCCGCGGTACGCGCCACTGCCGCACCCGGGCGGCAGGGGCACGTTGATGGTGAACCCCTCGCCGCGGCCCGCGCCCGTGTCGCTCATGGGGCCGCTGCCGACTGGGTAGTTTGAGTCCTAGAGGTCGCGAGGTGGGTCAGGAAGCTGTGAGTTGAATCCATCTCAAGATCTGGACCAGCAGAGAATGATGTCATCACTCATGAATCGACCCCCCGCCTCCATCCCCCCCCCAAAGACCAGATCCGAGGCCCCAACCTTCGCCCCCAGCATGTGCTGTGACATCTGCCGGTGACAGCTGCGGCCGTCATCACCATGCTGCCCGACAACAGGCCACACACCGCAGCACGCCGCCCATGCGCGCCCTGCCAGGCCAATGCCACTGATTCCGGCAGCCCCTGCCCCCCAGGTACGGCAAGCTCACGCAAGCACACACACAGCCGCTGCCCGTGCGCGTGGTTGTGCCCACCTTTGGCCCCACACACACGCGCACATGCGCACACACACACATACACACACACGCGCGCGCGCACGCGCACGCACACACACACTCACACGCACGCGCGTGCGCACGCGTGCAACCTCGTGTGCAACGGCAGAAACAGAAATCCAAACCAACCCGGGACCCCCACCTGGTGCAATGAGATCATCAGGAGTCGGTCGTCATCGTAAAAGATTGACTGGGTCCCATTACCATGGTGCACCTGGGAGCAATTGCGACACAAGGCCAAGCCAACAGTGGCAGCAGGCAGGGTTGGTGGGGGCGATTGGAGGTGCGTGGGTCGATGGCACTCGGCGCGAGTGGGGCCGCGTGGTCTGGCGGAATCGGGAACAGGTAAGGGGAGTTAGGCTGCGCGTCGAAATGAGGCGCTAGACCAATTTCTCTCGCACTTTGCGTGTCAATATACGCGCCGCCTCAGGCGCCGGCTGCGGCCGGCCGGCTGCCGGCAGCCTCGTCCGCGCTCCCGTGCGGGGCGCACACGCGGCCGGGTGCACAACAGAGCCCGCGCGGCAAATCTGCGTGGGCGGGCGCAGCAACGCGACGCATCATAATCCCCTTCTCCCGGCCCCTCAGGCAGACACGTGCTGTGGACCCCAGGTAACGCGTGCGCATTTGCAGCACTCACATCAAAATCGACCACAGCGATGCGCGTCAGGCCGTGGACCTCCATAGCGTGCGCTGCCGCCACCGCTATGTTGTTGAAAATGCAGAACCTGTTGGGGCGAGAGGGGGGTGGGTTCATGGGCTTGAGGATGGGGCGTTGGTGCGGGTGCAACGGGTTGGGCGGTCAGGGTGTGCAGGTGGCGCGCGCAGCACGTTGCGCGCGAACAGTAGCGGCCGCCCAAGCGCGCAACGGCCGCATCGAAAGCAGCGGCCGAGCGGCTGTCCGCTGTGGACGCAGCGTTTGTGACGTGGTGGGGTCGGCGGTAGTCATCCCGACCAGATTAAAACTTGCCAAAGTTTCACCATGCCCCAATCATACCAGATCTTCAGATCAGATTGCGTCCCGCTGAGCACGCTCACCCCATGCCCGCGCTCCGCTCCGCGTGGTGCCCCGGCGGCCGCAGCAGCCCGTATGCGCCGCGCGTCGCGCCGCCGCCCTCGCCGCCGTCCCGCCGCTGCTGCGGCCCCTCTCCTTCCGCTGCTCCCGCCTCGCCGCCGGCCGCGCCGTTGACCGCGCCATCGGTTGCGGAGGCGTGGCCGTTTGACTGCTGCGCTGGGGGCAGGCCCATGACTGAGTCGACCAGCTCAATGGTGGCGCCGGCGGCGAGGGCGGCGATCTCATAGGCGCCGGGGGAGAAGGACATGGCGTCCCCTGTGCAGGGGGAAAGTCAAAGGGGTTTGACCAGTTTTGACCAGTCGTCAGGGTGCTGAGTTGTGCGTCAAGGCGCGCGCCGGGGCCAAAGCCGGGGTCGCGCCGAGGCCAGTCTGATGTGATTTGCGCGTGGTGCGACGCGCGCCGTCGAGGTGGGTGGTGTGGGCAGCTCTGGCGGGGTGGGATTTGAAGTGGAAGAGCCAGGCGCGTGCGGGGTTTGGGATGCCTGGAAGGAGGCTGCGTGGCGGCCGCGCGGATGTAGCCTTCCGCTGCTTTGGGCTGGTTGGGCTGTGATGCTCAGTCAGTGCAAGAGCATTTCAGGGGTGGACTGCAGGTGCACCAAAATATTCCCTGCACACACGCGCACACACACACACGCACACACACA